TCCATTCTCAGAATAATGTAAGCCAGAATTATTCCATTCTCAGAATAATGTGAGCCAGAATTATTCCATTCTCAGTATAACGTAAACCAGAATTATTCCATTCTCATATAACGTAAGCCAGAATTATTCTATTCTAAGTGTAATGTATGCCAGAATTATTCCATTCTCATATAACGTAAGCCAGAATTATTCCATTCTCATATAATGTAAGCCAGAATTATTCTATACTAAGTGTAATGTAAGCCAGAATTATTCCATTCTCAGAATAATGTAAGCCAGAATTATTCCATTCTCAGAATAATGTAAGCCAGAATTATTCCATTCTCATATAATGTAAGCCAGAGTTATTCCATTCTCAGTATTATGTAAGCCAGAATTAGTCTATTCTAAGTATAATGTAAGCCAGAATTATTCCATTTTCAGAATAATGTAAGCCAGAATTATTCCATTCTCAGAATAATGTAAGCCAGAATTATTCCATTCTCAGAATAATGTGAGCCAGAATTATTCCATTCTCAGAATAATGTAAGCCAGAATTATTCCATTCTCAGAATAATGTGAGCCAGAATTATTCCATTCTCAGTATAATGTAAGCCAGAATTATTCCATTCAGATTTAGACATTTTCTAAAGTATTTTAAGCATTAGATGGTAGTTTGGGAATGAAATTTTTTACATTCCCATCATCTTTTAAAAAAAAGACAAAAATGTTAGTTTAAGATATAAACATAGCATGCATCGATCATTTACTTTAAAAAAAAATTGATGTCAGTACAAAGAATAAGGAGTGAATAATTCCAAGTTACAATGAAATCTTTCATAAGCAAAAATAAAAATAAGTAAAGGATGGTTATACTAAAAATAGAGCTTCATAAATCATTACTGATATATCTTTACTGTAAAACATAAGTTACTCAGTCTTGAGTTTCCTTAAACCTATATATATTCAGTTCTGAAAAAGCAGTGTTATGCTCTATGCGTGTTTTAATTCCAACAGTTCTATGATTTTCTTGAAACCTGTCATGGATGTTTTTACAAGAACCTTTCAATATCAATGTTGATATGAAAGATTATCTCCTTGGTGCCCTTCACAGGGGTCTGGGCAGATTGGACGTCTCATTGTTGGAGGGTGGGGGCCTCAGATAGACAGATTTTCTATTGGGAAGGGTGGAGCTCTTTTACAAGCCATCTGTCATCAGAATGCCAACAAATATCCGCCTTTATAAATTTGTCTGCACATGCAAGTGTCTATACTTTGATAACATGTCAGAAGAGAGAAAATATACATGGATTTGAAGTGGATGGTTGATATATCTAAATATCTGCTGAATGTTTCAGTAGTTATGATGATTAAAATAAAATATATATAGCAGAAAAATGTGTCTTTCTTCCTAATTGTGTCTAATTTCATTTGGAACAATTTTGAATAATATATACATATAACTATGAGTCATGCAGCATTTTTGAAGTTCTTTACCACTGCATGTTTTTGTAGGTTCTACACATGTCTGTCATGGTTACCATTATATACAACCTTCATTAGAACCATCACATGTCTGTCATGGTTACCATTATATACAACCTTCATCAGAACCCACACATGTCTGTCATGGTTACCATTATATACAACCTTCATCAGAACCCACACATGTCTGTCATGGTTACCATTATATACAACCTTCATCAGAACCATCACATGTCTGTCATGGTTACAGTAATATACAACCTTCATCAGAACCCTCACATGTCTGTCATGGTTACAGTAATATACAACCTTCATCAGAACCCACACATGTCTGTCATGGTTACCATTATATACAACCTTCATCAGAACCCACACATGTCTGTCATGGTTACCATTATATACAACCTTCATCAGAACCCACACATGTCTGTCATGGTTACCATTATATACAACCTTCATCAGAACCCTCACATGTCTGTCATGGTTACCATTATATACAACCTTCATCAGAACCCACACATGTCTGTCATGGTTACCATTATATACAACCTTCATCAGAACCCTCACATGGCTGTCATGGTTACCATTATATACAACCTTCATCAGAACCCTCACATATCTGTCATGTTTGAAGTACAGTATATAAGTAACATTTAATCTTCAGAACTTTACATATATATCATTGATACAATTTTGTATCAGTTTTATAACAATTCTTTGTCCATGAACACTCAAAACTTTTTGATAGATTTGACCTTCACACGCCTTTCACATTGTTACCAATACAGTAATGATTGGCCTTCCATCTCAGAGTAAACCCTCTTTATTGGGCCGACTGGACAACTAAATCAGAACCCTTTGATCACATACCGTGTCTTAAAATTGGCCACATGATTAATCCTGGCTCTGTAGTCTTTAAGTGGTAGTTGGTGTGCTCAAATTGAAGGTTATGGTACTGTGGACATAACCCTATAGCAGAGAAGATTGAAAACAACCATTAACACTAATTACACAGAGTCATAAAGGAGATGAAAAAAGGTATTACCAAGGTATTTATTTTGATGCTTGCCATCAGCTTTCTCTGATAGGCATCTCCCACAACGAATGCCCTGTTGACGAATATAATACACCAATAATGAACAGCCAAAATCACTTTTCAGATGGAGTGAAAAGTTACACTGTTGGAAATGTCAGAACAGGGTTCACATCAGATAGCTACCCAAGCTTAAAGTGTTTTTTTGCGTCGAGGTTGTCTGTGGATATCATGATGATCATAATCGCTGTTATTTTATCTCGAGGGGAAACTCTTTTATTGTTTCCAACTCGTTTTACCATCATTTTTGGTCTTTCAAGGGATTTCCGGCTTTTCTTGTTTCTGAAACATTAAATAGTTTACATTCCCCCTGAACCGTGCATGTGCTGTTAAACAACTTTTCTCATTTTTTTTTTTCTGACATCCATTTTTTTTTTCTATCCTTTGTAAATGCAATTAAATGATGTATTGTGGGCACAGGAAATGCAGATAAGACATGGCAGACTGAGGTTATTGTAAGTGTACATGTACCATGGTTTCTGGAATTGTCATCATATGTATATTTCCTCTCATATTGAGGCTTGCTGAGCGGAACAGCTCCAATGATCAAACAGTGTTCCAGCATTCAACAATAACTTGTTGACTAGTAGTGTCAAGAGATATACATACATATTGATAATTTACTTTTACCTTAACAGAACTGATTTTATTATCTATATAAATCTATGATGGATATCTAATCATAGTACTTGAACAATTGGCAAGATATCATTCATTGTGCTACAAAACCATGCGTTGTATTATGCCATTGCTTGTCCAAGGTATTGAATACAATGTACCAGGAACTGAAAACCTACTGAAGCCATAACGTTGTACTTTAGGAACTTAAACATCTGAATATAATGTAAAGTACTAGGGTAATTTTGCAGCATACTGCATACTAAGCATAAGTATACTGCAAGTATACTTTGTATTCTGTAGTGTAACATATATACTGAAGATGTACTGTACTGTACAGGGTCTGTAAACACACTGAAAGAATACTGTGTATTAGGTACTGTAACATATATACTGAAGATGTACTGTACTGTACAGGGTCTGTAAACACACTGAAAGAATACTGTGTATTAGGTACTGTAACATATATACTGAAGATGTACTGTACTGTACAGGGTCCGTAAACACACTGAAAGAATACTGTGTATTAGGTCCTGTAACATATATACTGAAGATGTACTGTACTGTACAGGGTCTGTAAACACACTGAAAGAATACTGTGTATTAGGTACTGTAACATATATACTGAAGATGTACTGTACTGTACAGGGTCTGTAAACACACTGAAAGAATACTGTGTATTAGGTACTGTAACATATATACTGAAGATGTACTGTACTGTACAGGGTCTGTAAACACACTGAAAGAATACTGTGTATTAGGTACTGTAACATATATACTGAAGATGTACTGTACTGTACAGGGTCTGTAAACACACTGAAAGAATACTGTGTATTAGGTAGTGTAACATATATACTGAAGTTGTACTGTACTGCACAGGGTCTGTAAACACACTGAAAGAATACTGCATGGAGTACTACAGAACATACTGAATGTATATTTAATGCCTTCAAAACGTACTAAAAGTTTACTGATATACCACTAGGGCTGCAAGAATTCACTGGAGATGTGCTGGTGTGTGTGTGTTCTTGTATGTCTGTGTGCCAGAACATGTCCGTTTCTCCTGATAAATACAAATAAAACACTATCCTAGCTCTCATCAAATACATGCCAATCTTGGCTTTTCCTTTACAAAATGTACCAGACTTTTCTATAGGCTTGTAAAACATTTTCTTACAAATATCTCCTAATTGGCTTTAAGTTATAAAAACATCCAGTTATCTTTCAGAACCAAAATAAAAAGGCATGCTCAGCCCCCACAAACTTCAACACAGCTGTTAACTCAACCCGAATTCCAATCAAAATTCAAAATTTAAGGATCTTTTTGCCTGAATATCCTTGCTTTCTTGATGAAAAAATCTTTTTATCAGCGTGTGAGATATGCACTCATGTGTTTGAAGCTGATAGGCCTGCTGATAGTAAGCTGCAACGTGCTATAATTTGTTGGTGGCAGATCTAACCCTTAAGACAAGCTTTTAAAACTTGCATATTCATTCTCATATAGACCAAAAAATAATGATATTATTTTTGAAGTTGAACAGATGTTGGTCATAGATTGACAGTTATAGGACACTGTACTCTACCAAATGAATTTGTATGGTGAAAGCAGATGTTCATAAAATGGATGGCATGTATTAGTAATTTGTGCAGAAAATGATCCTCATCTTCCCGTCTTAATACAATTTGGACCAATTAATTGTCCAAGAATGCTATAATTGTTAGTAATCAATTCAAACAGCGAGAACAAAGAATGCCATTATTAAAAGTGCAATAGGTACGAGTTATGTAATTATCGTTATTATCATTACCATTGGTTGTATTTTAGTCACTGGGACGACGCCCACGTGTCCAGCCAATCACTCACCTTGCGACAATGACAGGTGTATAAGTAACGACTGGATATGTGATGGTGACAATGACTGCGGGGACAACAGCGATGAACTCAAGTGTAGTAAGTTCATATATGTCCTGATTCAAACAATTTTCTGAGATGAAAAATGCTGTGGTAAAGGTTTACAATGATTTAAGAATAATATTAAGGCACAAAGTTATCAATTAATTAATAGGAAATTGCACATGTACAGTTGAACCTCACTTTCTTGTACTTGTATAACTCAAAGACCCCCTTTATTTCAAAGCATTTTGTCGGTCCCTGCCTATCTTTACACAGTGAAGTTGAAAACATAAGAGAATTTAAGATAAATTTCAGTTATAAGACATTTCCTGTGTTTTGTTTTGTAGCTATTTCTACAGGAAGTTGTGATGAAAATGAGTTCCGCTGTGACAACGGTCAGTGTGTGCCTACGGGGTGGAGGTGTGACCATGACAACGACTGTGGTGACAATTCTGATGAAAAATGCTGTAAGTTATCATGATAAAAAAATTCATAATATGAAAAAAGAGACTTTGGAATAGTAGGTAGAAAAGAGGTTGGCTGTGAACACAGAAGCTTAAGATGTATCCATTTCAGACTCCCAGTGCGATTGGAATCTATCCTGATTCCTCATTCAGACTGTGTTGGATCTCTGTAAAGGCCTCAGCTGACTTCAGGTGTTAATTAAAACATAATTGTTGAGATGGTTATAGCCCTTAAAAATAAGTGCTGAAGTGATAAATATTCTTGAAAAACAATATCATACCATAGTCAAACGAGTCATTACCTGTGGCCACTTGTCTATAACAACCAATTTTTGCTTCTTCCTGGCATAGTCATCAAAATGCTTTATTTACCAAACATGAACTCTTTGTAATCAAACACTCACAGGAATTAATTATGCATAAATCTTCCTTGAGACCAAATTGAACCAAAGATTTATGAAACATGTTATAACCACTTGTACCCTGTATGTAGATTCACTCTAAACAGCAGGTAAAGTAGTAATTGTCATAAAACAATGAATGTTAACTCTGGAAATTAATTTTCATTACCTGTGTTTTTTTTTTTTTTTTTTTTTGATCTTTAAAGAAATTTTGTTTACAGTATCTCCAGAAAATTGAGTTGCTGACCTCTTGAGATAAAGTTAATGATGTGTACAGTAAAATTATTTTTCAGGCATCATAGGTGGTACTCAGGGTTTTATTTCTATAGTATCAAGTATGGGTTTTATACTGTCTTGTCTTTTAATTGATTGGGAGGTGGGGTATATGATACATGTACAGTTTTTACAGTCTCCATCCATCTAGTCCTGTTGCATCCAGATCCAAATCATTCTTATATCTTAAATAACCTGTCAACACATTTGGTTCATATTTACTCAATAGTATCATATTAAATTGTACAGAGAAATTTATATATGTAGGATCAGTGGCACTCGTGTCTTTGGAGACATTATCATGTTTTGTTGCAGTGTTTCTCAAAGAATGTATGGCTCTAATAGATAAATGTTTAAAAATTGTCATCATTACCGGTTTTGCGATAGCAGATTCCACTAAATCTATTTCCGATATCTTTGTGTCTGAGGGTGCATGCTGCCAAATACTTAAATTTATTACAACAGTGTCAATGAAAGAAACCTGTCCCATTCTTCTTTCTTAAAATCCTTTCAGAGATTTTCTACGATTTTCTACGATTTTTCCCTATAGGTGCTGTAGATTATGGATTTTGTCATTTGTTCTGATATGTTACAAGTATGTTGATGATATATTTTCAAACATCTTGGAAATAAAAATTATTTATACGTAATACATTTGTATAAGGTTTTGGATAGAATTACGTCTGTTTTCAATTTGAGCTGTTATCTGTATAAGATGATCTCTGGTTGTGTGGTAATATATCATTGGAGTTTTTAAGTTAGTGATATACGACCGGAGGTTCTATCGCTGTGGCACATATATGCCAGAATTACATAACTTCACATGTAACAGAAGTTGAAAGTAATTGATTTTGATAGTTTGATAAGACTCTGCCGAGTTTTAATTTCGGTGTAACCTCCTTGTGACTTACTGTAGTGAAGTAATTGTAAGCTTTGCCCCATCAGTTTTGAGAGCTGTCAGATTTCAATTCTATGTGAGGCAGAACACGCAGGCTTAGGATTATAATGTACTGGTTTATAAAGGAATCATCTCCAACTTCACAACTTTTAAAAATAAATTAAGGAACTTTGGCAAGACATTGATAAAATCTTTCAATTCAAAATATTTGAATAAAAAAGAATTTGTTATCCTTTGTTCTTCTGATTTCAATATAGCTTTAGAATGTCATCAATTGTAAACATTAACTATTTATCAATGATTGATTTTTCTTTACTCGAAATGGAAGTTTTGCAGAAATACAACATGTAGAGGTAATATATGGTCTATTTAACTGTTGTGTAAAGTCTGTCATTAATGCAAAATTAGATGCAAAGAAACCATGCTTATAATTGGATGTCAAGTATTCGTCAAAGTCACTGATCTCTCTGACTCTATCACTAATTACATATTCTTAAACTGCTTCAGGTGATGGATTTGTTGATAATTTGTAAAAAAAAAAAAAAAAAATGTGAAACCTAAAATAGTTTTCCTAGAATACAATTTTGTGCAAAAAAGTTTAATTGAAAATTTTAATTGGTTTTGAAATTCAAACAAGTAAAGAAATGGAGAAGACATTTACATGGGATTCCATTTGGTTTTTTTTTACTACATGTATTGTATACATGAAATTTTTGCCTCAGTTTAACTTTTGGGCCATGAGACAAAAATTAAACAACGGTGAAGCTTGAAGTTAAAGCTGAAATGAATGCTATTATGCTTACATGGTGATGATAAACATTTTGATAGGCAGGTGAAAATAACCCTGGTCAAATGTTTCTCTGTAGACTGTATTTCATATGATTACTTAGGGAGGATTAATTAATACTGCATTACATATAGAATTGTAATGAAAACATAAAAACATTATATAAAAACAACTTCTCTTGATCGGTTGTCAGACTAGTAAGCCAGAGGTCCTGAGTTCAAATCCTAGTAGATGACCTGATATATTGGGGCCCATGTAGAGACTCTGGAATAATTAGCATTACTTTCACAAGTATCTCAGTATCTCCTGGAAACTTAAGGATGAGATATTTCCTGGGAGAGGAATATGTAACCCAAGTGTAATACAAACTGCAATACACCACTCGGCTAGAGAGAACTTCTCTTTAGTTGGATCCAGGGGTCCGGGGTTCGAATCCTAGTGGAGGCATTGGAATAAATAATGACCTTTGTTACATGCAGATGTATGACTTAATGAATCACACATACATACAGATCATTACCTTGAAGGTCACAAGTTACTTTAGTTCATCAAATCAAGGAAAACGAAGTCAGAGCAGATTTCGGTTCGGTACAAATAAACCTTGTTTGTATAGATATAAATCATTATTTTTTATACTCTTTGATTGCTTGTACAGTTAATGTTTTTTTAAATCTTATAAACCAGATCAGGCTTTTTAGGGTACATCAGAACTATGTGTTAACTGTCTGGAGGAAATCTAGACAAACACTGAGGAGTTTTTGCTTGTTTCTGTTGCCAATGATAACATAGAATATACTGTTCAGTTTCTTTCTTGACATTTTATACAGCTACCAGAAATAGATGTAAAAAAAGAAAACTCTTTTCTCTTGAAATTCTGCTTTTCATCTCTAATGCATTTGTATTTGTGAAGATATGTATACTCTACATGTACTCTAAATGAGCCTTTTTGATAGTGAACAAACTCTGGTCTGGGTCAAATACTTCAGCATATGGTTTTCTAGGAGATATTATTTTTTCAGACAATAAATGGAAATGTCATGTGACTTTATCTATTTCATGCAATAAAGGGAATATCATGTGACTTTATCTTTTTCAAGTAATAAAGAAAATGTCATTTGACTTTGTCTTTTTCAAGCAATAAAGAAAATGTCATGTGACTTTATCTATTTCAAGCAATAAAGGAAATGTCATTTGACTTTATCTGTTTCCAGCGATGAAGAGAATGTCATGTGACCTTGTTTATTTCCAGTGAGGGGGAAAAAAATTTGGTCTATTTTACAGCAACAAAAGAAATGTCATGTGGTCTTATTTTCTGGGACATTGGTAATACCACTGTGACAATTTTAGCTACTTTGGTAATGACATGATATGTTTGTTTGAATAACATAAGTATCATCATGTGACCTTTGTTTCAGTGTCATAATTATTACCCTTTGACCTTTGTTTTAGTGACGGAGGTTATGATGTGCAGTAGTAAACAATTTGAGTGTGGGGATGGCTCGTGTATTCCACAGTCCTGGCGCTGTGATAAAGATCCTGACTGTACTGATGGAGCTGATGAAAAGAAATGCAGTAAGTTGTTGTCATGTCCTCTTTTGTTTTGTTTCCTCGTAAATATATACTTACATCTTATATCTGTCAGTCAGTTACCCATTCCCACACATCTAGTGTGCTGTAGAATTATTTCGATAGTTTTATAGATAGATAGTTATAGATAGAATGTTTACATCTATTTCATGTCTGTATATGATCTAAATGAAATATCAAGGCTGTCCACTTGAATTGTAAATTCTTCTTACAGTAATTTCTATTTTAACTTATGAGATATGTGTGACCATGAAAATGTGATTAGATGGCTGTTAATGTATTAATTAAAGATTCTGATAAACATTTGTACAAAATATATTTATTCATCATACTTTGTCTGTCCATCATGAAATTACAGCAGCAGTGTTATTGTTTTTATTTTTACAGACAAAGAGAAACTATTTTGTGGGAAAGATGAGTTTAAGTGTTTACATTCCTTCACCTGTATCCCGAAACGTCTGAAGTGTGACCTCAACAACGACTGTGGAAACTGGGAGGATGAGGCTGATTGTGGTATATATACTACAGACATTATAATTTGACAGAATAAGCTATCATGTTAACCTCTCTTTATGATACAGATTACAATCGAGTCAATATGGTATAGACCAGTTGTTTTAGGAAAATAGTCATCAAATTGTTACAGTTTAAAACTCGTAGTTGTGGTCTATACATCCAGCTTTGAGCATTATCTAATGTATGGTGAGATTGTTTAACTTAATTATTCCAGGTAAAGTTAAATACAACAGGTTATATCTGTGGTTGGATTATGATATCAGTGTCATATCAATTTCTGTTTTTGTATTTTTAATAGCAAAATTAACTGTTTTCAATTATCCTTACAACATTGGACCAATATTGCTCTAAAAATCATTATATTCCATGTATGAATCATCATGTGAACATTGTATATTGAAAAAAAAATGATTAGAGATACTTAAAATTGACCAAATTTTGATAAGATAGAATATGAGTGTAATATACATTGTCAGCTTATAGTTACACTTTACTGAGTTATCATGTATTTGTTGAAATATTCCCACAATTGGACCAATATATACTGGTACTAAAACACACTCTGTATATAGTATACAACACTAATGATTTACTGCATTGTCAGCACTGCTTGCCTTCAATCTTGTTTCCTTTCAAAAGGTTCTTCATTTAAGTGCAAAACAAATTTCAACATGCATAAAAATGCTCGACTGTTTTTATTGTATGTTTTTTTTTTATTAATGGAAATGGATATCACCGTCACATTTAGGTAGCATATAGCCTTAAGTCAATGAAAAATAATTGGTACACTTAATATCCTATGTAATCTACCTCCTAGGCAGTAGATTGTGTTTACCTGTCTGGCGTATGCTTTAAAAGTACGATAACAATTTAATTTTTCACCAAATTTTTGCAATTTTCATTTATTCTTGTTTCATTTTATGACAGTTATAGAATTTCTCAAACGTTTGTAATCACATTATCAAAAGCCATTTATCTCATTTGAAATATATAAGCAGCTCATAATGTCATTTTAACTGGATACCGACTCGGTAGCAATGTATTACTTCTGCCAGAAAACTCCTAATGGAAAGCCCTTTTTGTTACACAACTATTTCTCATTCTTTTGTGTATGAAATAGTTGTGTCATTAAATTGCCCAATTTAAATGGATTGAATTTCACAAATCTAAATAAATGCATTTGCTATATGTTGTTGCGATTTTATTTTAAAATCTAAGCATGGGATTTAAACTGAATACTCTATGAGTCTAGATATAGATCTTGAATAGTCTGTAATCTTCCTGCATTAATATTTTAAATCTAATGATATCAAAATTTTTAAGTTTTTAAAATTTTTGGGAATAATATGACATTAGCATGTTATTATGAATCCGAATAATATGATGAAGTAAAACTTAATTTAAGCAAGTACATTGTACTGATGTAAGATTTAACTTGAAAGTTCTTTAGTATAATACCATTCATATGTTTTTTCCAAAATCTTGTTTTCATTACCAAGCCAAACTCGAGATCAGATTTCATGTATTCATTGGATATCAATTTCAGCCACCATAAATGCCAAGTACATATGTACTAGGAAACGGTTAAAATTGCTCTGTCAGATTGCTAAATTTTGAAGGAGATGAAGGAATGTTGTTTTTTTTACCTACATGCTAATATGGTTATAAACTTCTTACATTTCAGCCCTATTTTCTGAGTGTAAAGATGAAGAGTTCCGTTGTAATGACACGATGTGTATCAACAAAGAATGGAGATGTGATGGTGATATAGATTGTGATGATCGCTCTGATGAAGAAAACTGCAGTCATTGTATGTACATACACAGATGTCTACATTTAATTTTTGGAAGCTTGTGATTTTCACTTCTTTTCAAGAAATGTCTGTAAGAATTATATAACATAGGTGTAGCCAGGGTGGTATTTTAAAGGAGTATATAAAGTCTTGTCTTAAGAAAATTGAAGAAGATGAGTGTTAGATTTTTTTAATATAAAAATATGAAATAATTATCCAACAAGTTGCTGTTATATTAAGTCTCTTTCCTATAGGATCAAATGATGTAGAAAAAAAACTGCCAATTTGCACTAATCCTATTTAATCCTATGTAAGAAATAGTAAATAACATAATATAGAACCCGTGATGATATGACTTTGCCCTAGAGCTGAGAGGGTGCCCATTGATTACCAACTTTTGACTTCATATATGAATCATATTGTATTTTCCTCCAAGGAAATGGGAGATGATATGTTCCATAATAATTGATACTTCTTTAATAATATTAATTAATATCCCCGATTTGTAATAATCACTTTGCCTCTACATCCGAATGTCTAGGCATCCATTTGGTTTATTTGAAATGTTATTTGAAACCTTTGACAGATTTCATTTATACTCACACCATAATATTCTACCCTAGATATTTGATCGGTCAAGGTCAAAAGTCAAAGTTCACTCTTGATTTCTGTTAGAATAGAAGGCTTTGTACGAGGTATCTTGTGAACCCTATAACAGATAAAGTCAAAAATAGAAAAGACGAGGGAGTTGAGGATGTAAGCTTTTGGAACAGAAGGCTTTGTTTTATGTAAAGTATCTTAATTGTGAACCTTTCAACAGATTTATTAAAAAATTAAAATGATCAGGGAGTTGAGCCCCTATTTACTTTCTGTTTCAGTAAGGTTCAAAAACTGAATGAAAATCATGATATAGTTGAAATTTCCTATTTTCAAGAAAGCATAGTTATATTTTTAAATTGAAAATGTACAAAAACCTATGTAGGTAAGATTAAGTTTATAGACATAGAAGTCAGATTCGCGTTCTATTCTTCAGCCACAGTGTGCGAGACAGAAGAGTTCCGTTGTGATACAGGGTTATGTATACAAAAAAGGTTCCACTGTGATGGTAACTACGATTGCCCAGATAACAGTGACGAACGTGGCTGTGGTAACTACACTTTGACTTTCTACTTTTCATTTTCCTTGGCAACATTGTATATATATACCTTAATTGTTTAAGGATGGAAAATACACCCTGTATTTGGTGTTACTTTTTTGGAGATATTTTCTGATACTGATAAAGAATGACATAAGAATTAGTGAAGTTTTGTTGACTTAACCATGTTAGTGATAAAAATAACTACCAAAATGATAATTTTATGTTGTATCAGTTTTTCGTAGGATTGTGCACATAACCTTGTGCTTGATGTATAAATAGTTTTGAAAGCCTGAGGCTAATGATGATAAAACTATTCCCACATCATGTTATTTTAGAAAACAATTTTCAAAACTCATTATCCATAAATACTACGAAACTTTTTTGTTTTATTTGTTTTGGTTGAAAAGAATTGAAACTTTATTTGGATGTAAGGGTAAATTAAAGTGATATGTGCATGGTTTGTAAATAATCTTGGTCTATATTGACAATTTGTCTGTTTATAGCTAACAGTAAGGAATGTGGTAAAAGACAGTTCCAATGTATGAACCATAACTGTATAGCTAACAAGTTAGTGTGTAACGGCGTCGATGATTGCAAAGACAACTCTGACGAACGCAACTGTAACAATGGGAAAAGTGAGTAACAGAATCTTAAAGTGTTGGAATCATACGACTTGATGGTTTATCATGATATGAATAATATTTATCAAATAACTACCCTGTCCTCTGTGTAATAACACCAATTACCCGAGTGCGCACTATACCCGCAAATTTACAGTACATAAATTTTTGTTATGACATACGCGTGATTTGGCCGAGTGGAGATGTGATTATCTGAAGGCTTCCTTTGTGATGTCATGACTTTGTAGTGTCATATCCAATGTGGCATCGCCGTAGAAAGAGATCGAAATATGTGTCGTTGATTCTGATGGGTGTAATCAATTACTTTAGTTTTTTATATAATTACAAGTTAAAATCAAAAAGTTTTTTCTATTTAAATTTTTTTTTCAATGTCATATTTAATGTATATACTGAAATTTGCATATATATTTTTGACAGCGGGGGCTTGTGGGATTGCACAATTTCTCTGTAAAAATAAGCAGTGCATCGGAAACAAGAAAGTGTGTAACTTCATTGATGACTGCGGCGACAACTCTGATGAGGAAGACTGTGGTAAGTTGAATCTTTCCTCATGATCAACTTTCTCTTCACAATTTTTGCTTCAATAGCCCTCCTTCTTGCATCTGTTTCTGGTATACTTATAAATTGTGGTAGAGTTATCTCCCTTCATATACTGTCATACATTGTATGACATGACGCCTTACTTTTCCCTGTCAGTTTGGGGAATTGAACCCCTGACACATTTATGAAAGGCGAATGTGTTACCACTGCAGCACCCAGCTAGCCTTAGACTATGAGTACTTATGATTTCTTTACTGCTTGCAGAATTCCCTGGTGCCTGTAACGTCAACAACGGTGACTGTGAACAGTTCTGTACAAGTACTGTTAAAGGACCACACTGTTCCTGTAAGCTAGGTTATCAGCTGAAGGAGGACCGCAAAACCTGTGAGGACTTGAATGAATGTAGCTGGGAAGGCACTTGTAGCCAGATCTGTCAAAACCATCCGGGGTCCTACACCTGTCAGTGTGTGGAGGGGTACAAACTCAAGCCAGACAAACGTGGCTGTAAGGCTAGAGGTAAGATAACATACAATTATAGTGACCATCCTACACTTGTCAGTGTGTGGAGGGGTATAATCTCAAGCCAGACAAACGTGGCTGTAAGGCTAGAGGTAAGATACCATACAGTTATAGTGACCATCCTACACTTGTCAGTGTGTTGAGGGGTATAAACTCAAGTCAGATAAATGTGGCCGTAAGGCTGTAGCAAAGATGAATGATTCTTAAATATGCCCAGTGTTGATGTAAAGTAAAATGTATTAAGAAATATTTCATCCCATTACCATTTGAAAAATTAAAAAGTGTTGACTACTTAGCTTCTTGTTCCCTATTTCAGGTGGTAAGGCATACCTGATATTTGCCAACCGAGTAGACATACGTAAATTGCTGCCAGACCAGTCCGAGTTTGACTCCATCTTAGAAGGTCTACCAAATGCTATTGCTCTGGACTTCCATCATGAAAAAGGACTGGTTTTTTGGTCTGACATTGCTCTTGACAAGATCAAACGGGCTTACATCAATGGCAGTCAGATTCGTGATGTAGTCAAATATGGATTGGAGAGTCCAGGTAATTATTTGTTCTCGAGTTATCTCCCTTTTACTTGAAATGATGAAATAAGTTAAATTCTTTTCTTTTCATCATTGTTTGTTAATCAATGCTTAATGCAAATATTTGATTTAAATTTAATTGTATTAAAAAGAATAATTAAGCAATCTAAATCAGTATTTCTAAAAAAAAATTTAACAAAATAAAAATATTTCAATTTTTCAAACAAGTAGTCTTTGTAAGTTTTTATAACCTATTTTTGGTGCTTATCAGAATAGAGAATATATGTCACCAGAACACTGGCTTTAGGCGATGAGGCAATGCCTAGAGATAGGACGAGTCAAGGAGACAAAAACCTGTCACCAACCATAATGAATATTGTGTTGTGTCATTGAGGTCCCTTATTTCTGACTTGTGATCATGTTCCAGGTGGGATCGCGGTCGACTGGGAACACAATCTTTTGTTCTGGGCTGACTCAGGAACATCTACAATTGAAGTCACAGATTTGGAAGGAAAGTATCGCAAGGTTCTCTTCTGGAACCAGATGGAAAAGCCAAGGGCCATTGTAGTACATCCTGGTCAAGGGTAAGTTAGAGATGTAAGACTTTCTTAATAGCCCATATACTTCTCTTCAGAACGGATGTTTCAGATGTTTGTAAATGAAAATATGAAGTTAAGAGTTTTAATCACATGACTGAATAAAGATTTCATTCTGCCAATATTCAAATGTAGAGCTTGATAAAGATTGGAAGAAAAAATGTTGTTTAAAACTTTTTTGGGATGAGTTGTCTTACAGGTAAATGCTGTTTTTACTGTAACAGCTAAATTATCACGGCTTTTAATAGGACTAATAAATGGTTACAAAATTGATCTAGAGAATCAGAGGGTTTACAATACTATTATTGTTTTAGTATTTCCTGTGTTAGGAACAAAATTTTGATTTTGGATTTAAGTAATGTGCTTTAAGATTCTTTTAAATAATTAGAAACAATCGAAGTATTTATTTTGTGTGTGCAGATCGATATTTTGGACAGACTGGGGAAGTGTTCCAAAAATTGAGCGAGGAAACATGGACGGAACTGAGCGAATGGTATTAGCGAACACATCACTTTTCTGGCCTAATGGTCTCACTCTGGACTACGCCACTGACAAGCTCTACTGGGCAGATGCCAAGCACCATGTCATAGAATGCTCCGATCTCTACGGCAAGAACAGACGCACTGTTATAGATCGAGGTAAAAGTCCACATACATTTAAAAATTGATATCTTTTTTTTTTTATTATTTACACCATTGGAAATCAAGTTGTTACTTAAATAGTATTTTTACACTTAACTTTAAAAAAAGGTTGGAGAAAAATAATCAATTACCTCTGTGTGATGTGAGCAGAGTTTTCTCAACCCTTGGTTAACATTGGTACTAATACTAGTAGTTTATTTACAGGACTACCCCACCCATTCGCCCTGACTTTGTTTGAAGATGAACTATACTGGACAGACTGGCATACCAAAAGTATAAACAAGGCCAATAAATTCACCGGCAATGATGTGGAAACCATCCGCAATCGTCTCCACTTCCCCATGGATATCCACACCTTCCACCCACAAAGACAACCCATGTGTGAGTACCCATCCCATAACTGGTGTTTCTACATATCTGTATATCCATCCTGTTACCTCTATATTACAGGTACCTTATTTTTGTCGCATACTTGTAGTTTCTACTTATCAATATTTCAGTGGTTGAAAATGATCAAGAAATATAGAAATATTGATCAATTTTGTGCAGATTTATAGGGATCTAATTTATACATATTCATAATTTAAGGAGGAAATGTATCAACAGGGATCAACCTTATGAATATATATCTATATATGTAATTGTGTTCTAGTTGAAAATCACTGTGGATTAAACAATGGAGGATGTAGTCATCTGTGTTTGCCAAATCGTGAGGACTATTCCTGTTCTTGTCCCACTGGTCAACACCTGTCCAAAGACCGACATTCTTGTATACAGGGTGAGTATATACTGTCCCAGGGGTCAACACCTGTCTTAAGACAGACACACCTGTATACAGGGTGAGTATTTACTGTCCTAGGAGTCAACACCTGTCTTAAGACAGACACACCTGTATACAGGGTAAGTATTTACTGTCCCAGGGGTCAACACCTGTCTTAAGACAGACACAACTGTATACAGGGTAAGTATTTATTGTCCCAGGGGTCAACACCTGTCTTAAGACGGACACACCTGTATACAGGGTGAGTATTTACTGTCCCAGGGGTCAACACCTGTCTTAAGACAGACACACCTGTATACAGGGTGAGTATTTACTGTCTCAGGGGTCAACACCTGTCTTAAGACAGACACACCTGTATACAGGGTGAGTATTTACTGTCCCAGGGGTCAACACCTGTCCGAAGACAGACACACCTGTATACATGGTGAGTATTTACTGTCCTAGGAGTCAACACCTGTCTTAAGACAGACACACATGTATACAGGGTGAGTATTTACTGTCCCAGGGGTCAACACCTGTCTTAAGACAGACACACATGTATACATAAATCATGCATGTAGGGATCTATACCAGTATAGTGTACATGTTTACAGTAAACAGTATGTATCAGGCGAGTTCTTTGATCTAATTTACCTGGTATTACATGTAAGTTTGAGTTATCTCATTGAGCATCTGTTAAGAAATTAAAATAAATCACACGCCTGAATGGAAGCATTCAAGGGGTCCTACTTTGGGAAACAATCGTACCCAAGGAAAACCAAAGTGAAGGTGCTACCTGACTGACCAATCTCAACTGTTAACAGGTTCAAATTCAAGATAAAACATTTAGACTGGTTCCATTGTTATTTGTAAATATGTATACATATCTACATGTATTTTAATGTTTTAATGTTTGTTATTAGAGTCTGCAGAATTCAATTGAGTTAGGTTGTCACTAACAAACTCAGCCTTACCTTAACTTCTGTTTCCTGTAAGTTTACTGATGTCTTACATATTGTTTTTCCTTAATACTTTTCAGCCATGGAGAATTTCCTGGTGTTTTCTACCAGATCAGACCTGCGACGCATCAGCATGGACACACCGGACAAGACTGATGTGGTCATCCCATTGGTCAATGTTGTCAGTGCAGTAGGAGTGGACTTTGATGCTTCCCTGGACATGATATACTGGACAGACACGGGAACTGATACTATCAGCAGGGCTCATTGGGATGGATCTCAGGAGGAGGTAAGACCGAGAAATCAGGTTGTTCATCTGTTCAAGAAACTGCTGGTTATGCTCTGTTTTCTTCCTTTTCTCCAAGACTTGATGTGCAAAACTTTAAAACTTCAGTAAAACCTTGTCATCCATTTTCTTTTCATTTTGGAAATGAAAATGCTTCTGTGAATTGTCAAAATGTTGTCAAGGTATATATTTAAACACGAATATGTGCAAGGTTCATCAAGAGATATTTTTCTGGAACTGAAATGTTATTGTAATCTTTCTCATCATTGATATATGTATCAATGTAACACCTGTCCGAGTCCATATCAATACAACACCTGTCAGAGTCAGTATCAATACAACACCTGTCTGAGTCCGTATCAATACAACACCTGTCCGAGTCCGTATCAATATAACACCTGTCAGAGTCCGTATCAATACAACACCTGTCCGAGTCCGTATCAATACAACACCTGTCCGAGTCCGTATCAATATAACACCTGTCCGAGTCCGTATCAATATAACACCTGTCCGAGTCCGTATCAATATAACACCTGTCCGAGTCCATTGTCTGGTCAGTGTATCCTACAGAGATCATGAACAATTGGCCAATAATACAATATTTTCTTATTTCCTATTAAGGTGGTAGTGGGTAACTGCCTGGAGTTCCCCACTGGACTGGCTGTTGATTGGCTGGGCCGAAAAATGTACTGGACAGACTCTGAACTAGATGTCATTGAAGTGTCAAACCTCAACGGAACCGTTCGAAGTATCTTGATTTGGGAACGTCTTGATCAACCACGTGACATCATCGTCGACCCAAACAAAGGGTAATAAGCACTGTAGAAATGAATGATGATAGGTCTGCAATCTTCAAATAGTTGGTCATTTTCTTAAACATCTGAATAAGTGTCTTGTTTAAGGAACTTAATATAAAATATTATATATATTTTATTTTGTATATATAAAAATAATATAATATATAAATATTATATTATATTTTATAATACAAATAATATATATTATTTATATTATAAGATATAATGCAGTGTAATGAGACACACTTACATTTATGAATATGTGTTGTTTCCTATGAAGAGAAATCTTAGTGCTTTTGATGCTGTCAGACATTGCACTATATTGTAGTTGCTTTAATTGTTTGGTATTTTTTTGTTTTGTTTTTTGTTTACATTGTTGAAATCTGATAATGACACTATTTGTGGAACTTGTTTACACATTATCATATTATCAAAGTTATTGGAACATCTATCAAACAACCTTTCTAAAGCAGAATCTTCCACCAGAGAGTATTCTGATGGGATTTATATAATATATATCTTATTTAGGTTCATGTATTGGACTGATTGGGGTAAGAATGCCAAGATAGAGAAGGCAGGCATGGATGGTAAAGGGCGTCACGCTCTGATTAGCAGCAACCTGACATGGCCCAATGGTCTAGCACTGGATCAAAGGAGGAACAGAATCTACTGGACGGATGCTGGACGTAAAATGATTGAATCGGCTACGACAGAGGGACTGGAACGACAGGTACATATTATTTGGGGGACATGGGTCTAAAAATATCACTTTAAACTGTACACTCATTAGAAAAAAACCTCGCTCATAGATGTATTTCCAGGCATCTGTTTATCACAACCACCTTTGTTTAATACTGATGTCAGTAGATTACAAAAGTCACTGTTGATGTCCTATGCTCAATGTAGAATGTGTTTTTGCCTTTATTTCAAATATGATACCTAGTGCTGTGTTCCATCAATATACAAGTGCTGATCTTCATCACCATATATCTATTTACATTGTATATGATGCTCATGACTCTCTACACAATGCTGTGAAGCTGTTTGCTTATGTATCTCATCAACATTATCCTTAATAATAAAAAACGTAAAACAGATATGAGGGGCAATAAATTGGTTTGACTGGCTGCAGTTTTTTATATTTACTTTCTGAGCAGTTAAATATGATGTTTCTTTACAAAATTATTTTTGCTTATATAGAAATAACACATTATTTCAAAATCCAAACTTTTTTCATCAACAAATGAACATTTTTGTAAGAAATGAAGCAAAGGTAAGCAGAAGACAACAAATTTGACATCTTGTCATACATCATCCTTGTATCAAAAATGGCATCTTCTGAAATTTTTTTTCTTAAGTGGCTAGGTTAGATTGACCATTGAGTGCTGACCTCTGGTTTATGACCCCTATTTGATGGCTACCATGTATGGCTTAGTGGACATAGCTTTATGCTCGCCCACTGACCATGTAAAAAAGTATGATAAAAAGGAACTATTCTGCAAAACCTGTTTGTATATCACAAACTGTCATAAATATGAAGACCAAAGAGAATGTTACAAAAATGTCTTATACTGTTGAAAAAAGTTACAAAGGTCATTTTATTTGGAAAGCTTTTGACTAGATAGTGTTGTATCCTTAGGGGTTAAGGATGGGGAGGGGTTGAGTATGTATTAATGTTCCATAGGCTGTATGATGTTTCATGGATCTAAGTCTGAGACAGGTTTAAGCTACTGATGTTTAAACCGTTCTGACCATAACAGTAATAACTTATTCATCCTTACTGTATTGTCTAGGTAATTATTGCTGTGGACTTGCCACGCCCGTTTGGTCTGGCATTGCACAACAACCAGATTTTCTGGACTGACTGGATTGATAAGGGTATCCACATGGCCAACAAATTTGACGGATCCAGTCGCAAGACGCTTCGTAGTAATCTCGGACATGTAATGGACGTTCGTATGTTCCACAAACCCAAACAGAAAAGTAAGTCATTTTCATGTAATTCTCTATATTACTTTGAGCAAGTAGTAGACATCCATATATTCTACAAATGAGAAATTTATGTCATATCCGTGGGGATATCTTACTTCAAACCAGATACTGTATAGTTGATAAATTTCGTTCTGCCAATATTTGGCGGTTGTCCTGGTTTGTGATACTTCACAAGTATTAAATTTGCACATATCTATAAACAAGTGTTGTTGTAAACAGGTATAACAGGTATTTTCTGAGATTTTCATTAATTATAGAAATGCTTCGTGGATACTTAATTTTGTGTTATCTTTATTGACGTTGAATAAGGCAAAATTAAATTTTCCTCAAATATTACCAACTATACAGTATTTTGTAACAACATCTAGACTGTATTGAAGTTTTGATCTAGAAATCTTGAAATTGCTAAAAGGAAACATATGAATTTACTTGGAAGCCATTTACAGTCTAGTGGAAACCTACAATTTTACTGTACTTTCTGTGTTATAAGCTGCACAGGTTTATAAGCAGCAAAGCCATTTTTATATGATCAACATATTAGCCACACCGAAATAAAAGTTGCACCCTTTCTAATGATGTGGTAACCATTATTTTGACCAATGTTCGTTGATATAATAGGCAATGGAAGGCAATTTATCAAGATCCTCAGTGAAATAGTTAATACAAATTTGCTATTGAAAATAATATTTTATTTTATTGATGTGTTTCAAAAACATAAAATAGCATTTATCAAACTCATTTGGCTTTGGAGCCTCCAAAGATTTTTTGTTTTTCTTCACTGCCGATTGTTTTTTTGTCCACACATAAACTACACTGGTATATAAGCCACACATCTGACAGTCAAGGACAAAAGCTATGGCTTTTAATCCGGAAAATAAGGTAATCCATACTTTTCTTAGCAAGTGAGGCTGTATTACCCTAGAAATGCTTCAGAGAGTTCAGGGAATCTGTATGCAGAACACATAGATCAGCTGAAAAAGCTGTGATTTGTCTCGACCAAGAACATGGATGTAGAGTGCTATTTTTAAATTTGACAGGACAGACACCATGCCAGGTAAACAATGGAGAATGCAGCCATCTTTGTTTGAACAATGCTGAGCCACAGCGATACAGCTGTGCTTGTCCAACTGGTGTGGTGATGAAATCTGATGGGAAAACTTGTGAGAATGGTAAGTAAAAACTAGTCTAAAAATAGGCCCATCTAATTCCATATTTAGATTGTGGGTTTTCTTTATTATAACTTTAGATAACGAAGATAATTATGTCACTGTGACCTACTTTTTCAATTTCATGCAGTTATTTGCTTATAGATTTTTTTCTTGTCATATTTTTTATTTATCAGGGTGGGAATGGTGACATTTCTATGTTTTACAACAATTTTGAATTCATTTTGTATGAAAATGTTTTGTATTTGATTTGTTCAAAGTTGTGTTTCAAATTTATGATTAAATTTTGTTAATTGTGTCCATGGTTTGTTACAGATATGACAAACTTCTTGATATTTGCACGTCGCACGGATATCAGAAAAATCTCTCTGGAAGTGGAATACTTTGCTGATGTTGTGATTCCACTTGGAGAATTAAGAAATGCTATAGCAGTAGATGTAGACTCAGTTCGAGGTGTGTAACTGGATTACTGATTACATTGTCACAGACACTAAACCACAGCACAATAAAACAGATTACTGATTACATCATCACTGACATAGATGTTTCAGATGAAAACAAGATTTAAAGTGCATTTACAAATTTCATTTGTTCTGCTGTGCAAAGCTTTCAAATTATTTACTCATATTTATTTTGATATTAATTCACTTATATATTTTACCTGAAATATAATAAAACTGTTCTGCTATTGCAGAGGATGTAACCCCATGAATGATATTATTTATTGCGACCTTGACCTGTTTGTATCCCTGTAAGGTGCAGACAATTTATAAATTGATTTCGTCTTTTCCTCTCTAACATGAAATCCTGTAGGAATACACGTTTTATATTTTCCAATCTTCAGGAAAGCTGTACTGGACAGACACAGTTCTAGACAAGGTAATGCGGGCTAACCTGGACGGGTCTCAAGTTGAGGAGGTCATCCGAAACGGACTTGATACACCAGATGGATTGGCTGTAGATGAAGTAGGGGGGAAAATATATTGGACTGACACTGGCCTCAACAGGATTGAGGTTGCAGACATTGATGGCACCATGAGAAAAGTTCTGTTTTGGAGAAACATTGACAAACCAAGGGCAATTACTCTCCATTATGAAGCAGGGTATGTTTGTCAATACGGACAAATTATCACAAAACTGGCTTTTCAATTGTCAGTGTCAGTGTTTAAGCTAAAACTGCAAAGGCATATACTTAGAGGCTGGTTCTTTTAGTCTAAAACTTTGACAGGTTCTTTGAAATGTTAAAATTATTTTTTGTTCTAAAATGTTTTTTTCTTTGGTGCTGATCTGATAAGGGATATCTGACCATATGCGTTTGAAAGCTGGTCTCAAGATAATACTTCTAAAATGATTGAAGCTAATATGGTTGAAATTAAGATCATTGCAGTAAATGTAAATCTATAAACATGTTTTTCTACATAAAGATTCCTGTATTGGACTGATTGGGGAAAGAACCCGAAGATAGAAAGAGCTGATATGGATGGTAAAAATAGAGTGACTGTCGTCAAGGACAGACTGGGCTGGCCAAATGGACTTGTCATTGATAGACCAACAGCAAGGCTAATCTGGGCTGATGCCAGGATGGAGGTAGGCGTTTGTTGGATTATTTTATACAGATGATCCACACTTCAGAATTTTTATTGTTTCTTTGGATCTACAAAGTATCCAGGATTTTTTTTTTCCTTTGAAGTTCCTACATTTTATTGAATTAATTTCAAAATAAAAGTCTACAATTGTACTTTCTTGACCACCCACTCTTTTGTGGAAACATTACAAATTTATGAATGTTTTAAACATGTATTTTATAGACAAAATTATCTATTTTATATTGTTTGCCTTAGGCAGCTTCTGCAAATTCTGATATTACTGTGACCTTTTGTAGGTGATAGAGAGTACAGATCTACATGGACAGAACAGAAGAGTCCTTGTGTCAAAGATCAATCACCCATATGGACTGACCGTAGCTGGAAATCATCTTTACTGGACAGATTGGCTTAAGATGGCCATATTCCAGGCAGACAAGGACAGTGGTCAGAATCAAACAATACGCCGTAGAAACATGTCTGGTCTGATGGACATTCATGCTGTCCAGCTCAAGAGGGATGGTAAGTCTGCCAATTAGGGTGTGTCATTGAAGTTAAGGTAGATAATGTAATGAGGCATAAAGTTATCAGGAGAGGCAGTCAGGTCTTGCAGAATAGCTAAAGGAAATGATGTTGATTCACTAAGTCAATGGTTACTCTTGGATAGTGACCTGTTTGCTGTTAGAGTCAAGTTTGGACATCCCAGCTGTTAATTTAAAGATAGAATGCAGGTGCATTAGCGATTCAGCCATATCAACAGAATCAATCATTTTGTTTTACTGTTTAATGTTGAATTTTCGTATAGTGGATCTGTTAGCAGTCCAGTTTTAACAAAATAATCATCTGTTACCCTGATAATTTTCTATGGCTGCAGACAATAAGAATCACCGATACAGAATGTTTAACATCTACTTTATGCAACCAAAGTGTTAAAATGAAACCAAGGACAACTGAAATAAAACCTGAATATGGATCTGGTATTGATACTTGGTGAAATATGACTTACCTCCCTTCATACTGGTTTTGCCTGGTATTACTTTTCAGGGACAACTTTTTACTTATTAAAATTTCCATTCTGATCATTCAATGTCTTGATATATTTTCATGTACAAATTAGTTTGTGATTCAACAAAATATTTGAAATGTTTCTTCTTTGATTAAACATGTAATATACCTTTATCTAATGATAAGGACTGTGAAATTCCTTATTCTGAAGGAGGTTTTTTGTCCCCCTTTTAGTCGAATTGTTTTTTGTGAATTGCTTATCATATCCATGCTAGGTTTATGCATTTAAAATTAATTTTCATTTTTATTTACCTTTAACAGGCAGCAGTGTGATAAACAAGTGTGGGAAAAACAACGGTGGTTGCAGCCATCTATGCCTTCCCAATCCCCGGGGATTCTCGTGTGCTTGTCCCACTGGCCTACTCATGATGGAGGATGAAAAAACATGTAATGCAAGTAAGTATATCTCAACTACAGAAATCCAAATGTAAGTATCACAAACCAAAATGTATAAGGAGCTAAATTGGACAGAATCATAGTAACAAAAAAGATCTCAACAAGTTGGTTTTTATGCAGAGACAAAAGAAACAATATCTCGTAATATTTTCTTCAGGTTGGTAATTTTTAAAAGAATAGAATTTCTTATAACATTACCAGTAGAAGATTTCAATGACTCCAGCATAGCCTAAATGACTACAGTACATTGTTACCATTTTTGTGAAATTTTTGGTCTATAATTTGTTTTCCATCTCATCACCCTATTTTTGACCTTTGTGTACTTGTGATTATAGTGCAGCTGAAAAGGGTGGTTGATTCTGTTCCATCTCATACACTACATACATTAGTGCTAGTATGCTCCATACTGGTTATTTGTCTTATGAAGGTGACTGTGTAGTCATCAAAACGTTACACTCAAAATCTGATGAAGGTGACTGTGTAGTCATCAAAACCTCGCACTCAAATCTGATGAAGGTGACTGTGTAGTCATCAAAACGTTACACTAATCTTCTACCGGTTATGTTATATAAGAACTTCTGTTCTATATTTTGTAAAAGAAACAAGTTAATATCTTTCAGCTATATTGTTCTTGCAAACTGGTGTTTATATGATCAACACTCCTTATATGTACTTTGTATATTTGGTAAGATGGTATATTGTAAAGTTGCCAAACTAGGGCTGACGAGATAAAGAAGGAAGGCGGAACGCTTATCTGGACTAGGTTAATCATCTTGGACTAGATAACACTTGTAGCTGGAGATTTTGTGTTGAGGTTTTAGAGTTTCTTCTGCAGGGCCCTATCTTAACAGTCAATCATTTTTTAAATAATGATAAAGTAGAACTTACTAGGAATGTACAATTGTCTAAACTTAACCTTTAAATAGAAACTTTAGTTTGTTGAGGAGACAAAGGTTGAAAACATAAGTAAATCTGAACTAATAATGATGAAAACATAAGTAAATCTTTAGTAAATCTGTCAACAGTGACAAGATGTCATTGTTGGAAAACAATTTATTCAGAGTTTAGAGAAGTTTCCAATGTTCAGATCCCATTCTTGCCTATGAATTTTAGTCTTGTTGCAAATTAATGCTATACATATCAAAATAAGTTGAACAGATTGCATCTGCATATTCTAATACATGTAGATATTTGTAAATGATACTGTAAAAATTGCACCTGCCTTTTCCTTGATGCTACAGTGCCGAGCAAGTATCTGCTATTTGCAAGTCGTGGAAGTATTCGTCACATCTCCCTTGATACGACAGACATGACCGATGTTTATCTTCCCATGAATAACCTTCATAATGTCATAGCATTGGATTATGACATACAAGACAACAAGATGTACTACACTGACGTGCTCCTGGACGTCATCAGGTAAGTTGTACAGACCAGTGTGAATTATTGTTATTCAATTAAATAATCTTGTCTCAAATTCATTTCTCTGTTAAAAATCAAAAGCTGGGATGTGAAAAAAATCTAGGCTTTTTATGATAAAGTAAATACAAGTGGTTATTTTAGAAATAAACTGTGGATTATTAAATTTACTTGGTAGAAATCTCATTCAGTGAAATAAGCCAAGCTATTCTGTTTGAAGCAATCTCATTATGGATGTCAACCAAACTGAAATGAGATGCTGTCCCTAGAAGTCTCTAAGTTGGCCCACCTGGGCTTATTGGAGAATATATCTGATATATTAATTATCTTGTAAGCCATAAAAAGTGGTTATAATATTGTCTTGTTGGTGACTGTTACAGGCGTTCTAACCTAGATGGTACAGAACCAGAGACTATTGTCTCGCAGAATTTGGAAACAACTGATGGGCTGGCAGTTGATTGGATTGGTCGCAATCTTTTCTGGACAGATACAGGTAAACACATGCTTTTTTCTGAACAGAAACATGTAAATACATATTTATTTCTGTATATTTCTGGGCAGTTAATCTTTAATTTTATAAATTTAATTTAGCAATTTTTTTTATAGAAAAAAAGACAAATATGGCTTTCTTTTATGTGTCTTTTGTTAATTCTATTACAATACTAAGATAGCTCTGTTACAATACTAAGATAACTCTGTTACAATACTAAGATAACTCTGTTACAATACTAAGATAACTCTGTTACAATACTAAGGTAACTCTGTTACAATACTAAGATAACTCTATTACAATACTCATATAACTCTATTACAATACTAAGATAACTCTATTACAATACTAAGATAACTCTGTTACAATACTAAGACAATACTAAGATAACTCCGTTACAATACTAAGATAACTCCGTTACAATACTAAGATAACTCTGTTACAATACTAAGATAACTATTACAATACTAAGATAACTCCGTTATAATACTAAGATAACTCTGTTACAATACTAAGAGTTAAGATAACTCTATTACAATACTAAGATAACTCTATTACAATACTAAGATAACTCCATTACAATACTAAGATAACTCCATTACAATACTAAGATAACTCTGTTACAATAATCATATAACTCTGTTACAATACTAAGATAACTCCGTTATAATACTAAGATAACTCCATTACAATACTAAGATAACTCTGAGATAACTCTGTTACAATACTAAGATAACTCTATTACAATACTAAGATAACTCTGTTACAATACTAAGATAACTCTGTTACAATACTAAGATAACTCTGTTACAATACTAAGATAACTCTGTTACAATACTAAGATAACTCTGTTACAATACTAAGATAACTCTGTTACAATACTAAGATAACTCTGTTACAATACTAAGATAACTCTGTTACAATACTAAGATAACTCTGTTACAATACTAAGATAACTCTGTTACAATACTAAGATAACTCTGTTACAATACTAAGATAACTCTATTACAATACTAAGATAACTCTGTTACAATACTAAGATAACTCTGTTACAATACTAAGATAACTCTGTTACAATACTAAGATAACTAACTTGTTACAATACTAAGATAACTCTATTACAATACTAAGATAACTCTTTACTGTACTACTGTTACAATACTAAGATAACTCTGTTACAATACTAAGATAACTCTGTTACAATACTAAGATAACTCTGTTTACTAAGATACTCTGTTACAATACTAAGATAACTCTGTTACAATACTGAGATAACTCTGTTACAATACTGAGATAACTCTGTTACAATACTAAGATAACTCTGTTACAGTACTAAGATAACTCTGTTACAATACTAAGATAACTCTGTTACAATACTAAGATAACTGTTACAATACTAAGATATCTCTATTACAATACTAAGATAACTCTGTTACAGTACTAAGATAACTCTGTTACAATACTAAGATAACTCTGTTACAATACGAATTTCAGGTCGGGATGTTATTGAAGTGGCTTGGCTGGATGGTTCCTACAGAAAAAGACTGATTTACAAAAACCTTGATGAACCTCGTGCTATTGCACTTTTTCCCAGTAAAGGGTAAGAGTTTCATTGTTCAATATATGACCACCAGTTGGACTATGGGTTCCGTGGCTTCTGCTGGATGTGTTGAATGAAAATGAATATCCAGTTCATACCAGCTTAAATGATATGAATCTGTATATTTGGAACTTGATATATTATCTGTATCTAAATAAAAGTCCTTTATCACCATCTCAAAGTTTTGTTTCCTAAAACGATCTTGAATTTTTCAAGGATTTAGGAAATAAGCAAAAATAATGTTGATCTAATTGTACCCATCGTCCTATAAATAAAATCTCTTCTAGTAGTTTTTATATTAGAAATTTGGATGAAAAGTAAATATATTCTACTGACTATTTGACAGATTGATCTACTGGACAGACTGGGGAGCAGAACCAAAGATAGAAAAGGCTTTCATGGATGGCACCAATCGCTCCGTCATTATAAGAACCAGTTTAGGTAATAAAGATTGTTCAACTGTGTAGATAAGTAACAGATAGTCCTACTTAAACCTTGTAATGAACTGTTTACAGTTTTCCACTTTATGATAGACTGTTTTGATTTTAATGTGATTTTGTTTTTAACATTACTTGTAAAGAAGCTGAAACATATATGGTTATTTTTTAAATTCTTGTTTGAAAACACCTTATATATTAAATTGCATAATGGGGGGGTCAAATGTGGAAATCTAGAGATCTTTACTTTTAAAATCTTTCAAGTGGAGATTGATGCTCATAAATTCAATCACAACCACAACACCATTTAGAGTAACCATCACAGTTTAGGAATTTAACAAAATACTTAAGTGAAGATAATTGATTTCATCTTAAAAATCTCTGGTTTTGGACTAAAATCATTTAGTTCAATATTTGAGAATGTTTATTAAACCTTAGTCGATACCACGTCATACTAAGAATATGATATATACCAACTCCTTTCAGTAGTTAATAATTGAAACAATTTTTTTTTTCAAATTAGGTGAATTCTAGTTGATTTGAAACATCAGCAGAGTTTGAAGGTGACAGAAATTTGTATCACTACCTGATAGAAATGGTTTTCAAATTTTGTGATTTTGGTTCCAGGCTTCCCTAATGGTTTGTCTATAGATTATTCTGCAAATAGACTATACTGGGTGGATGCTAAACTTGACAAAATCGAGACTTCTGACCTGGCAGGAGGAAATCGAGTGACCCTAATACAACACATCTCCCATCCTTTTGGCCTGGTTGTGGTAAGTGTCTGTTTGCGTGCAAATAAGATAGACAACTCTTCATAAAAAAAATCTGTTGAAGTAATATTGTCAAAAATATTCTCGACAAAATTTATGGATTGCCTCTTCTATTTTCTGAAATGTATCATGGAAGAAATTTTGTAGAAGGTTTCAATCATGTTTGCATCAATTGATTTGGTAGATTTTTAGAGTCTCCCTTCTCTGTTGTTAAGTACAAAATACTGGAAGATTTGATACATGTACTGCCTTGATTAAATAACATCTACATCTTATTCCTTTCTAAGGAGTAAATAAGATTCTCTTTACAAGAAGTTCAGTGTGTAGAAAGGTCTGGTAAAACTTTTAGCATTGACAATACTGGTAAGAATCTGAAATGTGTTGACATTTTAGATTTGATCAGTTGGTAAAATCAATATTTACAGTTAATTTCTTTTAGAAAAAATACATTTTTTTTTTTCAATTTGAAATTAAGATAATGAATGCAGTCATGGTGGATGGAAAAGAGAAATTAAAGAATTAAAAAAAAAATTATGTTAATTGTATGCAGTTATATGATGTTTTAAAAAGACATCTGTAGATTCATGTCAGTGATTCAGACATACATATTGTACATTACATTTCTGTAGTGTGTAAAATGTTTATCTATCTTGTCTCAGTATGGTGATCACATTTACTGGACCGACTGGCAAACAGAGCTGATAGAAAAGGCAAGCAAACACACAGGCAAGAATCGAGAGGTCATACAACAAAGTCTGGAGGGACTCATGGACATAGAGGTGGTGGCAGACGATAGACAAACAGGTATGTAATGGTGGTAGACGATAGACAAACAGGTATGTAATGGTGGCAGACGATAGACAAACAGGTATGTAATGGTGGCAACGATAGACAAACAGGTGTGTAATGGTGGCAGACGATAGACAAACAGGTATGTAATGGTGGCAGACGATAGACAAACAGGTATGTAATGGTGGCAGACGATAGACAAACAGGTATGTAATGGTGGCAGACGATAGACAAACAGGTATGTAATGGTGGCAGACGATAGACAAACAGGTGTGTAATGGTGGCAGACGATAGACAAACAGGTGTGTAATGGTGGCAGACGATAGACAAACAGGTATGTAATGGTGGCAGACGATAGACAAACAGGTGTGTAATGGTGTCAGACGATAGACAAACAGGTAGGTAATGGTGGCAGACGATAGACAAACAGGTGTGTAATGTTGGCAGACGATAGACAAACAGGTATGTAATGGTGTCAGACAAACAGGTATGTAATGGTGTCAGACAAACAGGTTTTACCGCATTTTAACTTGACTTTTCTCTATCAAAACCCATATTATTGTCATTAAAATGAATGTTTTTTTCTTTCGTCTTAGAAATGTTTGAATTTTGATTCTGAATGATGTATTAATGTTATGTATTCACAGGAGAGAATGGTTGCTCCAACAACAATGGTGGTTGTACACACCTGTGTCTGGCCAATCCCTATGGATACACATGTGCTTGCCCTGACAAGCAAGATAGCATCGCATGTCTTGTGTGTAAGTAACCACTCTGTCACTCTGAGATCTGTCATTTATCTACACAATATTTGTTATTGCTATTTCTCGATAAGGATCACATCTATTTCTCTCAAATTTCATAGTTCAGTTCCTCTTGGTCCCTTATGTTGTGTATTCTATTTTGTGACATATTCAAAATGAAAGGCCAATAAGTGGCCATATTGGATTTTAAAGGTCGAATCTTCTTATCACTGATACTTGTAAAGTTCTGGATGGATTTTTTTCAAATTTTTTTTTAGATTCACATTTGTTACTAATTGTTGTGTGGCTAATTTTAAAACTGATTCAAAAATAAAGAGGTCACTAAAATCCATATGTAGGATTCCTTTATTTCCTTGTTTTGTCTTCTCCATTTTGTGACTGACCAGAAAAACTAATTTTATATGAAGGTTTCCCATGATTCCTATCTGTGATTATTTCATTACTGGACCATCGAAAAAATGAAACTGGGCGATAGATGGTCTTTTTGACAGAGTTTAGTCTCAGTATTTCTGATACGTACTCAGTGGATCATTCTAAGAGTTCATTAGGTATAGGTTACCATCTTGGACGTTGAGAGTGACTGTTTGTTTTTGCTGTATCTTGAGAATATGTGTCATTTTCAGACTTCATATTTAGTTTGCTATTGGCCTGTTGTTGTAACTATGTGGATTTTGGACTAATTTGAGGGAGGGAACAAGAAAGGAAAATTCCAATTAATTAATTACTAATAACATTTGTGCTGCAATTGCACCAAGATTCCCCTCAAATCCGTTTTTGAGTAGATTTTCCAGGTAAATAAATCAAGAATTCCAAGGCATATTTATCATTAGTAGCCTATTTTGGAAATACAGCTTATTAATTTGATGGACTTGAATGAAATGAAACCTTAATACTTGAAAATGATTAAATATTCAGAATTACAAAAACTGTCAATTTGATGTGTTATAGATCCTGTGAGCATTAACATGATACCAGATACAGATCCTCACCTTACTAGACAGCCTGTAAAGTAAGTACTTTAAATTTTAATTTGAGATTTGATTGGTGCAATACTGACATTCACCAGCTCCAAAGGAGGTATTGCCAATGTTGGTGCCAATTTTCTCTTCATACAATTTTTTTTCATATTTATTCCAATCTGAAGTTTTTGTATTTTTTTTTGTATTTTTTTTTTTTTTTTTTGAAGATTTGCAACACCCAGGTACAGGGAAGATTCTTACAGGCATAAAATGATGAGTCAGAAATGTTTGTTTTTGTTTATTGTCACTAAACTTGACCATGTGTAGGTTTGCTTCCAGTACACTTTCCAAGCATACATACATGAGTGATAGCAATTAACGTTTTGTACTTTTGTGTAATTTGACAGACCTTGTTCTGACAAGGATGCCACACTGGGACTATGCGAGCAGACACCTGTAGTAGAGTCAACAAATCCAGGTGAGTGATAGATTTACCTGTTTGGAAGGCTTTTCAAAATTCTGTTGTCTAGCTACATCTAACTGGTTTTATCCACCTTGAACACGTTTTCCATATTTTCATAATTTTCTTAAGTTCTACCAGTGGAATTTTTACCTCAAACTTGTTTCACGATGGTTCTGACCAAGTATTGTTATTTTCTAAAAATTGCATTCATTGACAAGACTACCATCTTGAGAATCACACTTGAAGTTCTATTTGTTTCATTGAGCTGAAAATTATAAAAATAAAGCAGAGAAAGTGATATGTTCAGCCTTCCAAAAACTTCCATATGGCAGCAATGGCCGACATTTTGTTACATGATTTTACAATCATGTTTCCCTGGAACAACACTTGTTTTAAACTTTCTACATAATTCTCAAGTTTTGTTATTGAGATTTTGCTCAAACTGGACTTGTGTTGTTATGCATTGGGTCCATTCTGAAATCCCAAGTTCCACCATCTTGAAAAACACATCAGTTCCAGTTTGAAGGAGCCAAAGAGCTGATTTTTTCAAGGAATGTTGATATTCTGAAATGAAGATTGTATTTGTTACCTGTACTGCAAAATATTCCGACTTGGTTTCATCATTTAGTAATTGTTCCTACTAACACAACACTTATTAGATGTTACAGTACTGAAACATTAAAACAACCTTGAAATCAGGCCCCACTTGTATAAAACATCTCAACTTGAGATTTCCTCAAGTCGAGATTTTCCTCTGCTGATATCTCCTCAAAAACGGCTTGTATAAAATTTTCTCAAGGAACTTGAGGAAGGCATCGGCTAGGATGTCCTGAAATTCCTTGAGGAATTTCCATACAAGATATTTTCAAGGAGATATTAGCTGAGGAAAATCTGGGCTTGAGGAAATCTGAAATTGAGATATTTTACACAAGTGGGGCCAGGTCAGCCAGAGGGTGCTAATGAACTTTGCTTCCAGTTACAGCAACTAGTCAGTGGAAGATGGTGGTGTTGGGTGTGGTCGTTGTCCTGCTGGTAGTAGTGATCTTTGTGGTGGCCTGCCAGGTCTACAAAAGGTATACCTCTCTCAAATCTGATACATGATCCTAATGACCTCTTTACCTCAAATATCAAAAGGACGTCATCATGTTTCCGGAGCCCAAGGGCAAGGTCACCCTTGCTTTATATAGAAAATCAGTAACTGATTCAATTTAAATACTTGTAACTTCATTCTTTAGTGGGAATGCTCATTCAGACTGTACTTTAAATTCCATTCTAATGTTTCAGGCGTAGAAGACAAGCTTACAATGTGGATAATGGGGAATTTTTGGCTCTCAATTTTGCCAATCCTACATATCAAAAAACGAGCACGGAGACTATCAACTCTGTGTCATCTACTTCCTCAAAGTTGTGGAGAATTTTTCGTTTTAATAAACATCGTGTAAGTATGCCATTCATTGATACAATAAGACCATTAATGTGGTCTGGTAAACAGTTTGTGTTGCCTGAGAAAATATGAAAACACAAAAGTTCAAAAGAAAGCATGGAACCGGTATAATGTGGTGCAGCAAATAGGTTTTTAGGTCATCTGACTGAAAGGCATCATCGTAAACATTTTCAATGGCCATGGCCGCCATCTTGAAAACACATTTTCGACTTCTTCTTAAGTTCAAATTTTGAAATCTTGTATTTGATGTCAGATGACCATTAAGGCCCATGGGCCTCTTGTTAAGTCTTCATCTTAGAAGTTGAAAATTGATATTCCAATTTGTGTAACTATGACCATGCATTATGTTAGCCAAACAATTACTGAATGCATACACAAAAGGTTTGTCCTTATTTTTATGAGAAACATATTTGCAGATTAAGTGATTATTCCGACACTGTATACGAGCAACATATATGGGAACTATTTAATTCCCTGTTTTAAATCTACTGCAGGACTTAATTAGTAAAACAGAGATTGATTTTAGAGTTTGAAGTCATTGATATCTTTGCTGGTATGGTGCTTTATATCAGTGGAAGTACTTTGTTCAGGTAGAATTGGTGTCAGTATTATGTTTAAAACAATGAAGGTTTTGTGTTGATCACAGTGTTAATATAGCACTTGATTTCAGGTTAAATATTTAGTTAAGATGGGATATTAATTGTCATTATAAGGTGCTATCAGTATCAAGAATTTGTTTCAGTCAATTTTGAAATTATGCAAAATTGTAAAAAAAAGTCCATTTTGTAAAGGTAGAATTTGTTTCAGTCAGTTTTGAAATTATGCAGAATTATCAAAAGTCCATGGTTTTGATGAAACTGTCCTTTTAAATGTCTCATTTCTTTTTTTTTCAGGATCAAGTTCAATTTTTGGAGTCATCACAAGAAAATGGACTCAATAATTCTGAGACCTGTATTTTAGTTCGACATAGAGAGGGTGGTGGTCATGTATCACAGCCTATGGCTATGACAGTAAACAGAAGTTTATTTAAAGCAAAATCTTCCAATCATTGTAAAGAACAAAAAGCAAATGTTCCATACCGACCAGTCGACACGTGAGACATGTAGCACCATGCGGCATCAAGCTCGTGTGGTGCGAACACAAATACATGACACCAATTCAGGGTCCCCTCAGGGCCAAACGAAAAAGGGCATATATATCATTTAATGTGTGCATCAATCGATGAAGGGCTGCTTCAGTCCCAGATAAAGAAATGATGTGATGTGGGTCCAGACAAATAAATCATGTGATATGGGCTGAGACAAGTCATACATTTGATGAGGGCCCAGGCAAATTAACCAAGTAATGTGGCACCAGAAATTTCAACCTTGTGATGTGAGCTCAGATAGATCAACCATGTTATGTGGGCCCATGCAGATAAACCATGTTATGTGGGTCTAGACAGATAAACCATGTGATGTAGGCCCAGAGAGATAAACCATGTGGTATGGGCCCAGATTAATCAACCTTGTGACGTGGCCCCAAACAGGTAAACCATGTGATGTAGGCCCAGGCAAATCAACCATGTGATGTGGGCATAGAGAGATAAACCATAAGATGTGGGCCCATACAAATAAACCATGTGATGTGGGCCTATACAAATAAACCATGTGATGTGGGCCTATACAGATAAACCATGTGATGTGGGCCTATACAAATAAACCATGTGATGTGGGCCTATACAGATAAACCATGTGATGTGGGCCTATACAAATAAACCATGTGATGTGGGCCTATACAGATAAACCATGTGATGTGGGCCTATACAGATAAACCATGTGATGTAGGCCCCATATACAGATAAACCATGTGATGTATATGGGCAGCCATGGATAACTGGCTGCTTTAGACTCAGACACCATTAAATGCAGGGACCTATATACATGTATATCAAGGGCTCTTAATATATGTAAATGGTTAGCTGTTTAGCTCAAGCTAGGATCAAAACATGAATTATAGAGTATATTTGATAAGTCACGCAGACATATTAGAAACCAGCTGTGTCATTTGGAACATAACCACTAAATGGACCCAACCGTATCTATTTCCTTAACATTAAGCCTTAGTATACATCATTGACCAGGAATTAAACATACTCAACTGATCACAATCAAACCCATTAGATTTATGTACAGAATGTGCTATTAATTATTGCAAAATATGTATATTGTGGAATTTCCTACCAAATGGCATGATTACTTGAGTTGTGATGTATATGTGTACGTATGGTGTAGGACTTACGAGGAATATTTATGAATGAATTTGGTATTTAAACTTTATAGAATACCAGAATGAAGATTGTCCTATATATAGGTGCTAATAAACAATAGAGACACTCTCATAGGGATTGTGTTATTCACATGTTCACTGTCCATCGCAGATTTTTTGTTTGTTTTGGATGATTGATATTAAATTAATTTATTTTCCATTCAACATGACACTCTCTGTTAAAGTTATCCTTCGAATACAGCATTATTTAATTAATGACATATGACGTAACATTCATGTGATTATGTTATTTATGACATGTAAATAGTTATGAGGTCATGTCAACATCAGTTTTATAACCTTTTCTATAAATAGTTCAATCTTTATGTAATGCAGAGTTATCTTCACTTTGGACAAGAATTGATAGTTACACCTTTAATTTGCTGGAGAAAATTATGTCATTTTCTCATGATGTTGCTCTCACAAACAAGTGACGTTGCAATCAACAGCTGCTCCCAAGAGCAGATAACTCTGCATCACGAAAAGATCAAATAAAGCAAAATTATAGAAAGCAAAATTATAGTATTCAAAGCAAAATTATACAATTTGGGTAACTATCAGTGAAATGGCATTGGTTTGCAAATTTATTGAACGGCCATATAGATGTGTCGGTTTAATACCAGACAAGTGTTGCTGAATAGGGTTTACTTGTCCTCCATTAAAAAATCAGCCATTTCATTTGTTAATGGCCTATTTAGCCCATGCCCAGTAATTGTCTACATTTACTGCAGTTATTCAAAAAAACTTACCAGTGTTATATCATTGTCCTGTAATAAGCCTTCCTCAGTACTAGTGGTTTATTAGATGTTTGTCACCTCGGCTTATTTCAGGTATGAAAGTACTGTCACATGGGAAGGCAAACATTCTGAGTAATATCTGTAAATGTTGTGATTCTATGTACTGACCATTTAGTTTGGATAAAGAGAAAATGAATTGGAAAATGAAGAAAATAATGTGTACTTGAAGCTGTGATACCTAGAGCACAAACATTCTACAGTAACCAGTAATAAATTGACCTTGTTATTAAATGATCAAAAAAGATTATAGGTATATATTGATTGATAATTTGTGTCTAAATTTCCTCTTGGCAGCTTTGATTTTATTGACTGACCTGACTACTGCATTCAACTTAAACAGTACAATCTTATCTGGATTTTAGATGTCTGTCATTATTAGAACTGATATTACTGTATATATCCAGTGATAAGCCCATGCCTGATAATAAGCCCACCTGTTTCCATTGCAGTTCAATAGAAATACTGTCAAATACATTTTCATTGTTCTTGTTATCATCCCACCTTTCTACTCCGAATCAAAGATTTGGTGTTTATTACAGGATAAACACAGTATTGTATGTGTTGATACTGATGTCCAGACTCGTAACTTTCTATTTTATTGCCTTTTTTTCTCTTAATGTGTCCCTGTATTTACAAACAATAATTATAATGTCAATGTTTATATCAATCACCTGTGATATTTGTTCAGAAACAGTAACATCTTCGTAACATTTTATTGTCAACAATATATATTTACTTACCTGGTAGGTTAAAAAAAAACGCTGAAAGAAATGTTGCAATTAAGGTATAGAAAACAATGAGAACAGTGGTTCAATTTGCCAATTTCTTTCTTATCTGCAATTGCAATTCTTATCATTTATTTTTATGTAAACATGGATGTGAAGTTTCTCTGTTGAAAGATGTTATGCCAAATTATTTTCTTTTGCCAAAATGTCATGAGTCAGATGCTGTTGGTGGTACACAATTTAACAGTACAAGCATTTTGTGGTCTCTGATCATATGTTTAAACTATTTTTAATTATTTAATATAATTGATCTGATAAGTGCAGGCGAAGGATGGATTATTTACATGTAAAGGGTCTTTCGTAGCAAGAAATTATTTCAATTTTTAAAAAAAATTGGTAAAATTCAGTCATATTACAAAAGTGGTTTGGTTAAAGTATATATTATTTCGTACTTAGCTTGCAGAACAATGATTTAATAAAGCACACCTGTGTTCCTCCCTAGAAAACTCTGGGGTTACTTAGGTTATTTAACAGAATAGGTGATCTCCTCATATATTAAAGAGTGAGTTCCATCTTTTATCAACTTTCAGTATTACATATATACAAATATTTGGCAGTCTTGGTCAGATATTTTTTAAAAGTTTTATGCCTTTAATGGTTTTCTAGAGCCAAAATGAACTGTGAAATAGACATCTTGTGAGAATTTGTCGATTAAAATTGTAAGTTGTTTTACTTCTCTTGTAAAACTTCTGTTATCAAACCTTCTAATGGTACAGCAACTGTTTGGATAATCATCCCCAGATTTAAACACTACCAATAATGATGTCAAATGATTTTGACATTTTCCATGTTCCTGTGACTGAGGTCCCTCTTTTTTCTCATTGTTTTTAGAACTTAGACTGGATATCATTTTTGACATCTGCATACAAAAAGTTAAAACATACCCGATACAAATATTTCATGAAATGTCCTTAGGCTGGTGTTTTGGATTTGACTTTGTTCATACAGACGATATCATAATTAATTTTTGTATCATTTTTAGTATTTGTTCTATTTCCCTAAGCCTCAAAAGTACATCTTGTCCTTGAGTACATGGGATACTGTTGATAGTTTCAATGTTGTCTTTTTTTTCTAAATGAATGCCAGTGTTTGGATGACATGGATAACATTGTTGTGAAACCTTTTTTTTACAATAGAAAGTGTATTTTTATTCAATGGATTCATAATGTTATATTTACACAGTTACTACTGATAATCTTCAGAAGCAAAACTATCATGACATACATTTTAAAAAAAAGTTACACTCTTCCATTTTATTTCACATCTAACTTGATTTAAGGTGGGTTAGCATCACTTTGTCTGTGTCCATGTGTGTGTGTGTCTGTCTGTGTGTCCTTGGTGTCCGTGTGTCCGTGTATGGGTGTGTGTAAAACTTTTTTTTTTTGCCCTGTGTACAGCCAGGATCATTTTGAGACGAGGTTTCTTTGTAGAAGCTGGTGGTTAGGGTAAAGGTCAAACGTCACCTTGGTCAATTTTGAAATTAAAAGTCCATGTACAAGCTATATCTTACTATTCCCTCAACAGATATCTAGTTCATATTCACATTGTAGTACAGTCCTGGGATTGTGTGATGTATGCATGATGTGTATATGATAGGAATAATGCTACATGTATGCTTCTCTACTGTGGTTAATACATATTTAGAATTTACTTATGAATAAGTTCGGGATGTGGTTGTGATTTTCTAAATACATGTAAGGTAGCGCTAAGTATTGGGATGTGGTTGTGATTCTCTAATTACCTATAAGGTAGTGCTAATTTCCTAATTAAGTTATATTTTTATAGGTCAGATACATGTACATGTAGTTCCATAAGGTATATGTACATTATGTATTCTCAACATCAGATCTCCTTTTTTGTCTCTGCTGTTAATTATCTAAAATCTTGTACTGTTAGAAAGGAAGTGATATTTACCAGTATATTCATTTATTAAGAAAACAATACTGAGATAAATTTTAAGTGTTGTGTTTGTTATACAGTAGCCAGTACAGACCTGTCATGAACATAGTCGTACACAGGTCATTTTTGTTGCTTGGGCACACCTTTCGCAACTCTGAAATGTGAAATCAATTAAATGCAGTGTCTAGTTGTATTTTGATAACAGTTGTCAAGTTCAAAATAACCTTTATAATCACTGACCAAAACTGACATGCAAATGTATAGTCACCTTTAATTAATTAACTACACGAGTTTTCCGTTTAATTTTTC